ATATTGCTCTGTTCTGATTTTTGCTGGCAGTTTAAGCATATAAGACATACACCGTTCGATAGGGCTTCAAAAATTGATTCTAAGACACTATTTTAAATTTACACTTGGTTTTGTTAACAAGAAAAAAAGCACAAATTTACTTTATCCTGTTCTTGTGCTTTTTACAACTATCATATATAGTGTCCTCTACGTACACAAGCTGAATTGTTCCTATACGTATTATTTCGATAGTACTATGTAGTAAAATATTTAATATAAATTGCACCTATTCCTGACTATCTATGGTTATAGAAAAAAGATCTGACCATGACTCTCTTTTTGGCCAAAAGTCAATAATATCCACTTCGTCATTGACGCCGCATCAGTATTTAAAAAACTTTTAAACTACATATTCATGGCCCAAATTCGATGCTCTTTCGAATGAGACAAGTCTCAAAATTTGCAGTAGAAATTGTGGATAAAGTGTTAGACTTCCGATACAATTTTTTCATTTCCTTTGATCGACTTTACAATAATGCCGTGGATGAGTTTGTCCCATCTCAATCTATCTCTTTAATTTTTTTCGTTTAATTGCCATACCATTCTTATTTGTAAGTTAGAGCAATACTTTCTACAAATTCTTGCATTAATGTAGTCATGTTGAAGGAGTATACAACTCAATTCTCTTCCTTTTGTAGAATGACGCAGCTACATTTTGCGTATTGATAGTTTTCAATTGATTAAATCCTGTTTTGTTTGGGAGAAGTTTTACTTCATTTTCTTTCGATTTTTTTTCTTCTAATAAATATAAAAAGCCAACATTTTATGCACACATTGTATCTAGAGAAAAACCAAAGGTTTGTAGCTTTGCAAAATTATACTAAAAAAAAAGAGAATCTGTACATTATTGAAAATACAAACAAAAATAGAAAAAGCGCAGCGTGGAATGACTACAACAAGAATAAAAAATCAAAAACAATCAAACGGTATAAAACAGTGAATAAAAACAAACAAACAAACAAAAAAAAAAAAGAGTATAGTTATGATTCGTACTCTCTAGCACCTTCTGAACCAGTCGAAATAACATCAATCCATATTCTCATAATTTCAAGAGATGGTGCAATTAAATAATAGGGTCTCTCCAATGTTTTAACAATAAATGTCATTTTTTGTTCTGGACTTTTAACCGATTGTAAATGATCAAAATAAACTTCTAAAATTGATTGAAAATAAATAATACCACGTAATTTTGTTTCACTTTTATCTTGATAATAGAATAATGAACGACGTTTACGATCAAAAACAAACCATCGACGATTCCATGTTTTAAATTTAATACCACCCATTTTAGATAAAAAACCACGACATGATGTTGATGTTACATAAATATTTTTTAATGTATCTAATTGATGACCAGCTTCTGAAATATGTTGACGTAAATCAAAATCATTCCAACGAATTGGTAAATAACGAGTTAATGGACGTTCCTAAATAAAATTATTTATATAAAATTAAAATTAAAAATATTAAATTATATTCTTAAATATGTTATTCTTTCATATTATTTTTACCTGAACACGATTTTTTTCTCTCAATTTTACTTGACATTCAACAAGATAATCTCTATTTTTTACTTCATCAGCTAATTTTTTCTCTAATTCTAAACGTTTAGCGTGTTCTTCTTGATATTGAATTAATTCTGCATATCTTTCACGTAACTAAAATGAGAAAATAACAATAGAAAATAGATAAATTCTATTTTAATCATATTTAATTATTTACTTGTTGTTCGAGAATGGTCATTTTTTCTAATTTAGCAACAGATATCATTTCTTTTAATTCATTTAATTTATGAATATATTCATCATTTTTCATACTAAAAATAATGAAAAATAAACAAATAATAGACTTATACTTTATTTATTCAACTATTCAATTAAAACATTGTATCTCTTCTTACTTTAACGGTAAATCTTGATAATTAACCATTGAAAGTGAATTATAAATACCATTTAAATATGTTTTATTAAATAATGAATCATTGTTTGTACTTCCATTCATCAATGATTTAGAATGCCATGACGAAGGTATATCTAGAAAAATATATAAAAAAAAATTTATTTATACAATTTATCATCTCATTTATAAAATAGTATACCATCTCCATTATTTATATCATAATCATCGTGTCCATTAAATGATGTTGAATAATGAGTTGATTTTTTATTACTTTTTCCTAATATAGATGGAATAATAATATTTTTAAAATCTTCTTCATCTTCGCCATGATTTTTTGTCAACGTACGACTATTACCGTTCTACAATACAAAATAAATGACATTTTTATAAACGTTAAATTTATCATATTTTCATAGTCTATTTACCATATGATGACGTTGATTATTATCTATTATTGATAATGAATCATTTAATTTATTAATTTTTTGCTCAATATCGCTGGCATGTAATTTTTTCTAAAAACAAAATAAATAAGAATTTTTGTTGTTATTGTTGTTTTTCTATCGTTTTCACATACTTTTTTAAATAAACATTTTAGTTTTTGTCTTTCACGTTCTAGTTTTTGTTTTTCAGTTGTTACTTGCTGTAATATAATATGTTGTTGATGATCAAGATCTCGAAGATTAGTCTATATATATATATATATACCAAATTTTCATCTCTGTTACACAAATAGATAGATTCACTCATTTTTACCTGACGTATTTTTGAATTTTTTTGTACAATATCTTGTTCATTTTTAAAATTTTCTTCTGCTTCTTCTAATTCTGCTTCACATTTTGTTTCTAATTCCATTAACTGAAATTCAAGATCTTCATGTTTTTTCTTTGTTTGTTCAATCATTTCTTTTTTTCTAAAAAAAAGAAAATTAATCAATATTAAATAAAAAAAAATTAGCTAATGTAGACAAATATAATTTGATATTACATACTTAATTATCTTATCAATTAAATCATTTTCATTATGAGATGAATTTGATTTTAAACATTGTTCTAATAGTTGAAGTTCTTGTTCAAAATTATATAATGTTTGTTGAGTACGATCAATTTCATTACGTATCTATAAATAATGGGAAAATAAAATTCAGTTTTAGAAGATAAAAAACAAAAAATGTTTAATAATTATTAATATTATTCATTGAACCTACTGCATCTTTATCAGCCATCACTTTTTCTAATAATATATGTAATTCATTATATAACTGATGTATTTTTCGTTGATCATCATCTGAAGCATCAATTATTTGTTTAAACAATATTTCATGTTCACCTTCAATTAGAGCACGTTCGATCTCAAGCTAGAAAAATCAAAAAAAAAAATAATCGATGAATGGAAACTATTTCAAGAACATATTATGTTATATACAAATGATACTTTAAAAATAGTCAATTTATATATCCAAGATAGAGAGAAACGAGATAGAGTAATATTTATGTTAAATGTAACATATTTAACTTAATTTCTTTGAAATTATGAATATGTTCATCTTATACTAAACACAATAGTATTGGATGAGAAATTGTACTTAAAAATATTTAGTTAACTAGCAGAAAAATAATTAAATATATAATATGACTGATTTACTCACTTTCTCACATTGATCAATAGACAAGAGTGTTGATTGAAAAAAAAAGAAAAAAGATAAGAATAAATAGAATAAAACTGGTTTCTCTCTTCTCATATGGTATTACTATTGAATGTAGAGAAAAGACAAAAAAATTCATCTATAAAGACACATACGGAGTTCATCTAATAAATTTTATTCTTGACAAATGGATAGTGTATGTGCAATGATGATGATTAATATTATTAGTTTGGCAACATGCGACAAAAGTCATCAATATGTTTCTCATTGTCAAGTTATCTATCTTTTCTGTCTTTATATATATTGTAAATGTAATGTTCAAAGGTAATGCCTATTGCTATGGTGGCAGACTGTATAATTATACAATTCAAGAGATGAAGAAAAAACTAAAAATAAACGAAATTCTTTACGTAATAAATGAAAATGTTTGAGAAAGAGTGAATGTTCTTATATTATTGAAACATTTTATTTAAAAGAACTTGACAGAGTTAAGTTATATTGTCTTCACTCTTTGTTATAGAATGAAAAGAATACTATTTTAGTCTCTGTTATGTGAACAACAGCCAAATGTTGCAAACACAACTTTTCGAAGAAGAATTATAGAGAAAAATAGAAGAATAAGATCTTCAATATACCTACAGTTAATTTAACTAAAACTTTGTACACCAGTTTCTTTTGAATTTATAATAAGTATCTTTCAAAAGAAGATCCCAAATGTTAAATCATCATAACTTCAATTTCAGAAAGGATAAACTTCTGTCCAACATTAAGATGAAAGACGAAATATGTTCTTGATGATTATCATTATAATGGACGTTGATAGAACGGTTATTAGATATGCTAATGCCAAGAGCGAATTGATATAATATAGATCAAATAGTCAAACATATCCAAAGAAAGTATCATCATTCTCTCTCTCTCTCTCTCTCTCTCTCTGTAAGAAAATAAAAGTAATAAACTCATCATTTTTGTTGACAACGTATCAAGAAGCCTCACGGTCATCAGAATTATTACATATTACGACAAACACACTTATCAATTACAATGAAACGGGTAAAATCCTTGTCAATTATCTAAATGAATGAAAATACATTTTTCATAGTATTCTATCTCATTTTTACCAGTTAATGAATCATGCCTTTGTTTAAATGTAAAATGTTTTAAATATTAATGTTAATGAACATTTTAATCGTGATTAAAACTGCCAAAAATTTAAAATTATTTTATTATTATTATTAACTACACTATAAAATAGACAACTTTGTGTAAATGAAAAATGAACTTTTTGTCGAACCTGCTGAGATAGAATTTTTGTATCTGTGAGTGAAATATTGATGGTGAACGTAAATAATATATCTGACAGAGAATAATCTGACATATCATAACTATTTGATAATCATAAATGGTGATCATTATTACTGACTAGACGTTTGGAAATTTTTAGTATATGGTTCCATTAAGAGATGTCTTAATGGCTATGTTGTTCATCATGCACTTTAAAGGTGTTTCATACTTAGCCCAGTGACTTATGTCCTAATACCTCGCATTATCTATCCGATAGGATACTTGACGTGTTGTGATGTACGATAAAGTTCTTTCACTTAGTCTTTGTGATTTTCTGAAAAAGCTATGTGAGAAGTTCAAGACGAAAAGTCCTTTGTGTCCTGAACATAGCTGTAGTTGATGGTCAATCAAGAGATGAGTCATCATGTTAGAAACTTGCCAGTGACAGAAAAGGTATCGGGCTACTTCAGACGGATACTTGTCAATACTCTAAAGTGGCAACAATTGATGCAAGGCGCAATATTCTTCCTCCTTCTTAATTCATATGAAAAATAGTGGTTTTTCTGCGCTACTGTTATCTGTAGTAGTATGAACAGAATCGGATGTTTATTTATGTTAGGATTCTAATGGTGGAATTAGTGGACTCAAAAAAATTTCTTTTATTGCCAGAGAATAGAAAAAGTGACATGATAAAATTATTTATGCTATTAACAAAAGCTGTGATTCCATTCAATGATGATGGTGACAATGGTATCACATTACTGTTAGAACAACTGAAATAATATTTGAAGTTATACTAGATCGATATAATGTTGCAGAGTGAATTGGCGTGATTATAACCACGCATCGAATGTTTGTTATAGTTTGCAATGTCATTTTTAGCCAAAGAAATACAATATTGTACAGATAAATACATGTGACTAATGCAAAAGTTGTATATGATTTGTCATGCTTACAACCACTACGGACAAATCACACTAGATAAAGAAAATAACTTTCACCGTATCTCAGAAGCTGATTTTGACACTATTTTTGAATGATGTTTAGAATATCGAACTCTACAACATACATGAAAATCGAAAAGAACGAGTGAAAAATGGCCGTAACCGCGTATTCAGACTTTTTCTTAATCTTTCAAATACTAGAAACGAAGGATCTAAGTTATCAGGTTCTTAGAGCAACAGACTGGAATAGAAAAGATTCAGACTATCAGATTTTTCAGAATCTCATCATTCTGACATATAAAGTCGTACAAAAAAAGATTGAAATTTACCCGTCATATGAACAAATATGGTTTTACACAAATCATGCCGGATTTAAAGATCAAACCTCTTTTTCAAACGACAATCTTTTAGATTAGATTCTTCCCTTCAAAATGATCTATCACCAAAACTTAACTAACACTTTTCAACTAAACAAACTTCAACTTCACTTTCGAAATATTCTCATTATCCAATGCATCATTATTGTATCAGAAGTTGCATTTAGATCAAAGGTATGGCGCTATGTGTGTGTATATGTATATGTGTTTTCATGCATAATTAGACAATTTTTTTTAACCGAAATTTTAATATAGTACAGAAATTCAAACTGTTTCACTTAGCAATTCGCAAAGAAAATGAATGATACAGAATGTGAAATTTGTAAAGCATCTAGTGAACGATGTTCCAATATGTTAAATAGATTATTTTAACCTGTCTATATATGAACAACTGTGCAACAAGATCTTTGATGTTGAATGTGGGAACAGAGAGACAAAAAGATTGCTTAAAACTATGCCAAATATATACAATTAGATTTACCTGCACAAAGTATAAGTATTTTATCTAGTATCACGCACTGTTATATGAATAACATGAGTAATGTTGAGAAAAAAAAGTGCCTAATCACTCAGTTCTAACTACTAAATCAACAATAAGAAGGAAGAACAAAGGAAAAAGATCAGTCAGACTTATGCATAGTTGGCCTTTTTTTTTTGTTTTATTAATCACTTTCTCAGTAACAATGTTAAAATAATAGTAACATATCTTGAACAACTTAGATAAATGCTGTTACTCTTGCTGTTTAACAACAACAACAATAACAGACAATAAAAATACATTAAAGAAGTAAGACTTGTTTTATTAGCGCAGCGTTTTATATTTTTATCAAAAACTTAATTTCGAGAAGTAAAATAGAATTTTATAATTTATTTACAATTATTGTTTAGAACTCTTTTACTTTTATTAAATATCCTTGAAATTATGTTTTCTTCGACAAAGGCTATACAAGAACTTTAATATTATATCTGAGGGTGCATTATCTAACAAAGTATAGAAATACATTATGTTGTAGACAACATAGGTAACTATCCTATGTTCCATGAAATAACTTGAAACAGTTAATGGTCGTTAGAACTAAATATCATGAAACATTTAATGAGTTGATCCACTTCCCTAACGTATTAAATTTAGAAGTGTAAACGCAGTTTTCATCGTTTCTTTTTTCAAAATAACGTTTGACTGCGTATAATCCGTTTAAATCCGTTAAATATGAAATATTTGATTATTTTCATATTTAACGCATTCTAACGATCGTTAAGTTACTTCAAATTATTTCTCGGGTGATATGATTCAAAAAAATTTACCTCTCTCATTGCTTCATTTAATCGTCCTTCAATATCAACAATTGTTTTTTTTATAATCGACAGATGTTGAATTGTCTCTTGATATTCCAATTGATATTGTTTTAATAATGAAAAATTTTCATCGTCCTAAAAATTGGATAGAAGGACATAGAAAATTTGTTTCTTTGTTTGATTTATTATTTGTTTTTTTTTAAAATATATTCATAGATATTTTTTTGTTCTACACACTTGACGAAAAAAAACATGACAAAAATCTTTAATTTATGTGAGGAAATGCTGTATAGATAAAATAAAGATATATTTATCTCTTACCATTTTTTAATAATGACAAATGACGAGATAAGATCATTGTTACTGACATCCGACGGTTAGTTCAATTTTTTCTCTCATTTCTATACTTATATCTTAATTGAAAAATTTCATCAAAAACAAATCTTTTTTCTGTTTTCTCCTCCAGATGTTCATGATGTATCTAATAATAATATATGATGACTATCTTTCTAATCATCGTTTTATGTTATATGGGTAATATAAAATTTACTCATTCTACTTGAAAAAAAAAGACAAGCAACACTTTATAGTAAATTTTGAAAATGATTTACGATAATTAATGATTTAGTTCGAATAATTTATTTGTACTTAGAGCTAATGAAGAGGAACAAATGAAATATATGAACTTGAAATTTCACATGTTAAATACAATTTTATATACGTACGTCTACACTGGAACCACTTGAGTATTTTCCAGTGTGTTCACCGGATGATGTTTCTTCTTGTTGATCAATAACAATTCCCGAATCAGATGATGTTGGCATTTTTTGTTGTGATGAATCTATCATTTGATTATTATTATGATAATTATTATTATTATTATTATTATTATTATTATTATTGCTAGTTAACCATTTAAAATCTAACATCATATTTGTATTTTGATCATCATTTATTATTTTATTTGTATAATCAATTGGATATAAAATACCACTATTTGTTGAATGATGATGATTTGTTGTTGTTGTATTGGCTGTTGTTGGTGTTGTTGAATAAACATTTTTTAAACTGGATGATTTTCGTTGATTTAATTCATTATGTTGTTTTAACTGTTGTTTTGGTGTTGATGATGATGTGATCATCCATGGGTAGTAGTGGTCAGAGGTTGGCATACGCAATCCAACAACAAAATCAGAACGTGACATTATTTTATTACTTGATGGTGATGATGATGAAGAGGAGGTTGAAGAAGAAGATTTTGTTGATTCATCAACAACAATGGGTTTCAATGATTCTTCACTTTTTGCTAAAAACATATTTTCAACTGATAAATGTTTAGTATTATTATTAGTCAAAGCTAAATCGAATGGTGGATGTTTTAATGTTATTGGTGTTATGGTAGAACAATTGAGTAAACCGTTTGTTAATATACGATTAGATGGACGTCTTTCAGTTAAACGTAATGGAACACGAGATGAACAGGATTGTATAGGAATATTGGTAGTAGTCGTCATAGAACAATCATTTAGTGAATGAATACAAGGATTAACATTCGATTGTTGAGCTAAAATGAAAATAATCGATTATATTTCTTGACGAATCTAAAAATATGTTTTGTGCTTTTATCAATGAAACATTTTAAAGACTATTGTGACTATAATCCAAACACTTTGAATACTTATTGAAGAATTTTCTTTCTCTTATAATTTTTTATTACTATTATTATTACTAGAAAAAAAACCTAGACAATACTATCAATTTTAAACTTAATGAAATTAATGCAATCAAAAACACTTACTTGTTTTTGTCTGAACAATAAAATCAGATAGTGATGATGAAGATGATTGAATCATTTTCATTTTCATAACATGATTAGTATTTGTTGTTTGTTGATATTTTTTATCTTCAGTTGGTAAAATAATTTCATCTGGTATATTTGAAATTGATAATAAGGGTACAGATAAAGACATAGAGTTTGATTTGTTATCAAGAAAATAATCTTTTTCTCTATCATTGACATTTATCACTTGAGATTTGGAGAATGTCATATTAGAATCTGGATGTTGTTGAATTTTTGAACTAATAATGGGTGATGATGATGATGATTTCATTTGTTTCTGTTGGTCATAACTAGAGGTATGACATTTAAAGTTTATTTTAGTATCATCTGACAATAGTTGCTGCTGCTGCTGCTGCTGCTTATATTTAAATGGAAAATCTGAATTTGAATTATGCGTAGTAGTGGTGGTGATGGTAGTATTAGGAACGGATTTGTGAGAAACAGTCGAAGCAGCTGTTCCACACAAACGACTGGCGAATGATGACGATATATATGATAAATTGTTATGATTATCCAATGAAAATACGGATGAGGCATTTGCATAACATGAACGAATTTTATTACGATCAATAATCGGTGAGGATACGATTTTTTTAGATTGTGATAGTGGATCATGAGCAGCCTAAAAAACAAGAGAGAAAACCGTTTCATTTACTACATTTTTTAAACAAACTTTAATATTTGTCTCAGAACACAAAATTTTCAACACATTTTGTATATTTTTCTACAATCTACAATAAATTTCAATTTTAGCTTATCGAAATTATCGCGCGAAAAAGCTCGTACATCGAAACTTCGCACTATCTTAATACCACAAATGTCTGATATACATAAAGTTTTATTTTTGATAAATACTTTGAACTTTGAACACATTTAAATATTACCTTTATTTCATTTTGTTGATTTTTCTCGTCTTTTCTCTGTTCGATCATTGTTTTGTTTTGTATCGTATTGTCAGTGTTAAAAATAGATGATTTCATCATATTTACTGGTGAATATTCTTGAATGGATTCTGTAGGAAAAAATGCATGTTTATCATAGACAATTAATTTATCATCGATATCGTCCAATTCAAATTTATGTTCAACTTTTGGACTAGGTGCTCCAATTGATATGGCCGATTCTTGATTTGATTCATAAATAGTCGATAATCGTCCCAAATTATCATCGAATGATGATGAATTATTATAAATAATAAAATTATTCATTGTCTTTTCTAATTCTAAATCATTTTCTAATAAATCTGCACGATCATCCTTATCTTTAATTATTCCTTGCTGTTGTTTTTCATCATCTTTAATTATTTCATTAACAAATTGTTGTTTCTGTTGTATTTGTAATGACAATCTTTCAGCTTCTTCTTCAAGTTTTATTTGTTCTAATTCTTCTTCGTTTTCTTCTTCAATCGTTAAACAATTTGTTGCTGTCGTTGTAGTATTTAGTTGTATTACTTCCGGTGCGTCTGTAAAATAACTTGAATAATCATCATCATCTTCATCGGAACTGTCATTCTACAACAAAAAAAAAGCAATGCAAATTATATTAGATAAAAATTAGCATTTCTTCTTGTTTTCTTTTTTTTTTGCTCTCCAAAATTAGAGATGCCATTCATTAACACAAGAAATAAATCAAATGTCAGTATTAAATTAACGAGAGAGAGAGAGAGAGAGAGAGAGAGAGAGAAAGAAAGAAAAAGGGAGAAACTAATTGATTTTTAAATACAATTCATTGGAATTATCGACATAGATAAAGAGGACTTTCATAATCAATAATAACCTCAACAGATTCTAACAAAATATTCTGCCATCAACGTCAATTTTTTAGAACGATTATTTAAATAAAATGAAACAAAAACGACTTACACAACGAATTATTGCTCTTCGATTGTCAATACTTTCCTGATATGTGTTTGATATTATCACTGGTTCATTTGATAAATCAACATTATAAATAAATCCTGCTGATTTTGTTGGTATATTATCACATTGTAAAAAGGTGGCTAATTCATCGTCAAACACTTTTGTTGGACTACTTGGTGCTGAACGACTTCTTTCCAATAATCGATCACCATTTTCAATATCACTATCGTCAATATCTGTAAATGTTAAATTATCGTTATCGTCGTTATTGTCTCTACCAATATCTGTTAAATTATATTCAGTTTTTGTTGTTGCTGATGATGATGATGTTGATGAATATTCATTTTCTCGTCTTTTTCGATCATTTTTTTTCGTATAGAGTTCTTCACTCTTACTACGTCTTAGACGATTTGTTTTTTTCGATGATGAAATAATTGTTGTTGTTGGCGGTATACTTCGTTTGAGTAAATTTTCGAGTAATAGTAGAAAATCGGAAGATGAGCCTAAAACAATACAATGGACACGATTGTATTTCGTTTGTTAAGTCAATAATTTAAGAGAAAAAAAACAAATATTTTGTCTATGCACACAACTGTCTTAAATTTATACGTCAAGTCTTATGTAACTATAAGTTTTTATATTTTTTACCTTTTATTAATATAACAAAATTGTTTTCACATTGAACCAGACGCTTTTTTTATTTTTTATTGAAAGAAAAATAATATTAAAATGGTATCAATTAAACGGTGTCAAAAAAAGCCAAAACAAAAGAAACAGACATTTTCAATGATGTAATCATTATTTAATAGAAATTGAGACGATTAGTAATGTCTAATTTAAGATGAAATCAATACTTCTAACAGCTGTTAGAGAAACTGTGTTAAAAAATGTATAAACTAAATAATTTCAATATAGGGAAAAAAAATAAGACAACAGCATTATCGGTCAAAGACAGATTAACTCCATATTGTATGGTAAATACTACTTTTTTTTCTCCTAATAATGGTAGAGCTAACTCTCTACACGTTGGATTTGAGAAAACGTTTCATACGGTTTGAACTAGCAGTCTCAACTCTAATGATTGTTGCGAAATTTGGAATTATTTAGTCCTGTTTACAACCAATAAAAGCAAACACCTTTCACTTTTTCTTAATTGATTACGACAGGATATTTGACAAAAAAATTCAAGAAAATTAGTCTTTTTCTGTTTCATTTCTTCCAGAAAGTTGAACATTTGACACTTTTTTTCTTTAATGTTGTTCTAAAGTGAAATCAAATGTTAATAATGATTCATTCAACAAAAATACGAAGATTAGATTTTAATCAACAATTTAATTTGTGTCAAGTGTAGGCATTACTTTCAATCTTCCACTTGGAAAGGCATTTTGATACCTACACTATGTGATGATTATTTCATAAAATAAAAGAGCATGCAAAAGAGAACCTAAAGTATTTTTTGTTCTATTATGGTGTTCAAGGTATGAACACTAAATTGTACGAATAAGAACAAAACAAAAAAAAACAAAAAAAAATCACAAGAGAATACATTCATACGAGATCTAATTTATTGTGTATAAACTTTTGCGACATAAAAATTTTCATCTATATTAAAAACTCAATATACGGGTTTGTATAGAAAACGATCAATACCTGACCGTTCCACATCGTCTATAGAAAATAGAAAGAAAAAAAGAAACACAAATTGAAAATGTATAGTCAAATGATTAATACATACGAAAAAGAAAAAAAAAAAAAGGTGAAATCGAAAGAGAGTGAGAAAAGAGGTAATAATAATGAAATTTACACATTTTTAGTTTTAATAGAAAAAATATTGCAAACGTACACCATTCACACACATTATGTACATATTTATTTAAAAAATGGAACTTTATTACCTCGACAGACGAAGATTTATGATTGAAATACTATTAGTTCGTTAAGCGATTATTATTAAAATACAAAAGACTGTTGAATAAAAACACTTTGTAAATAATAGTATTTTTGAGATCGATGTTAGAATCGAATCATACATTAATATGTAAAAATATTTTTGAAAGATCAAATTTTCTATTTAAAATTAATATATAACTCTAATTTTAGATCAAGAATATGAAAACTCTAAAGTGACAACATATACTCTTATGTAGACAAAAGTACAATAACCTTATAATAAAAGGTTTAAACACATGCAAATATATATGAGATAAATTAAACTAAAAATGTTCACATACACGTGATCAACATTTGATACGTTTTATAGTGACAGTCAATTTTTTACTTGTTTTTTTTCTTTTGGATTACAAGTGAATGTAAAGTTTTGATTTCACTTTTGCCGTCTATAGTGCGAAAATTTAGAATTCTTAAATGCTTCTTAAATTACTGCAAATAATATAACAAAATGTTGATAATTGTTGACTTTGAAAATCTTCGGGTAGAATAAAAAGATATATTTCTTAAGTATATTTTACAAATATGCTGTATATTCATGTTTTTAAACAAATATTATTATCAAAGAAATATGCTGAATATATTAAAGATTCTAGTAATAAGATCAAATCATTTATTGACAAATTAGTTTTTAGATCGATATTTATGTTTTACGCCACTTTTCTACTACAAAAAACACAGTGAAAACACCTCAATTGGCCTATAGTGGTATTAATACTTATTGGATTATGATAATTAATCTTTCATAAAGAACATAAGAGGTTTAAAAAAAACAACAGAACGTTCTCGATGTCAAAGAAAACTTAATATACCATATGTCTATAGACAAAAGAATGATACATCACGTGAGAAAAACCCTGTTATACCTTTTTTTTTAACAGAACAGCAAATTACAACGAACACGGGTGTCAAATTGACACTCAAAATAAGAGAAAAACTGTCCATTTTTGTTGCTGTTCTATTACAATAACAAATAATATGATAAGATACCATCCAATTAATTGACACAATTATAATAAACTACCACTGATGAGGAACAAGATTCTTTACATTTTTACTTATCAAAATGTACATAATTCAAAAATAATCAGATAGTCGTAGACTCTTACTTAAAATTCTTAAATAATCTGATTTGTTTGACATCTGTAGAACTAAATCTAACTCATTTAATTGAATATCTATGGGGTATTGACTGAATCTACATCTTTGTATGGATTATTTTTCTCCTCTATAGTTGTAAGTTTACTGTTTGTTGAAAATAATATTGAAGTTTCTTAGTATGCACACATATTTCAATCAAAAGTACTAGAAACTTATAACATTGAAAAAATCTTACAGTAAGAAGACAACATGTTCTTTTATGCGATCAATAATAAATTGTGTAAAGTAATAGATTTTTTTTTTCTATCGATTATTTCAATGTCCCGTTCCATCCCAATTTAGAAGTATTGATTATCTCACTAGAATATGACAATTATTAATTGTTCAAAGAAAATTTAGCAAAGGTAGAAATACATTCACTGCTTAGTTTTTTTCAAATGACTAATTACTATTGGCTAACAACAATTGATATTAGTGTGTGTTTTCTCTCACTCTTTCTTTTCAATACTAGACATAAATAACATAAATAAAAAACTGGATGAAACTTTGTCCATATGTTACTTATTAACAACTAATGTCACTAATAATTGATTATCATCTTATTTTTATTTTATTTTATAGACAGTCTAATTAATCTGATATTATTTTGTTATATTAAATTTTTGTTTTTCTTCTTTTTTTCTTCTTCTTATTTCTTCTATTTTTTATTACTCATTTTTTTTTTCTCACCTTCATATTTGGTCATCATCATATTTTCTTCACCCAAATAACTAAGAACATAATCATCATTGCCACTATTATCTATACAATTCATAGTTCTAAAATGTGTGAGAGAATATCCTTAATTGTGTAGTCGTTTTTAGATTCAAAGTATTTTTTATTTACTATCCATAAGTTTGAATATACAATACAATAGTTTTTCGTTTTATTTTTTTTAGATATATATATATATATATATATGTATGTGTGTATATATGCATATAGCTCTCTATATAGAAGTTATAAATTATCAAACCGAACAAGAGGAAGGACTGTCCTTGTACTAGTAGTAATAGTATTTTAACCCATGTATATATCTTTTACCATCTATATACAAAGAAAAAACAGAACAAAAAAAAAGAATCTAATGATTATAGATACATGTAGACATTGAATAGAGCTGAAAGAAGTAGTACACATAACAACGATTTGGAACAAAAAAAAAAAAAGGGAAAAATGAGAGAAAAAAAAGTGGCTTTTATTTTATTTTTTTTGTTTTGTATGATTGAAAGGAAATCATAAGTGACGTTCGCCATATTGTGTGTATATATGTGTTTTCTTTTTTTTCGGAATAAATGAACATCAACTAAATTGTTTTTAAATAAAATTTAGAATAACTAACTTGTCATTGAAATGTTTTTTTTTTACATCAACCAATATAAAATGAAAAATGAAAGAACTAATATGAAATAGTCCTAATAAATTAGAATAGCATTAAACATTGACTGAACTTTATAAAAGAAGAAAGTCTGAAAAGATGTCGAGTTTGTGTATTGAACGCTAAATTTTGTTGTTTTTTTTCTATTTGAAATATTCGGATATTCATCACGAATAGAATCGAAAAAACATGAGAAAAATCTATGCTCAACTAATTGTCGCGTTTCATTTAATAAGTGATACTCAATTAATGACAGTGTTATATTAACTTTTTCTTTCTTTTTCAATCCTCAAATATATGTAAATAAGATAGATATACACACACACACACCTTTACATGTACACGCAGTTATTTTTATTGTAGATCAATTGATGTGTGATCAATTATAGATAGATAGATATTCACGGTTCAAATCACACGTTTAGAAAATTGAATGGAATACACTCCACTCAACTCTAGACTTTTAGTCTCCAAAAAACGCTTCTTATTTCTTCTTCTTCTTGTTGTTGTTGTTATATTCGATGTCGTGTACTTAAAGATAAAATACAAGATTCATTCTCTCTTTCTGTATCAGAAAATCAAAAGCGAACAAAATTTTAAATGGCATATCCATCAATCAACAAAAATCTAATAAAGGACAGTAGAAAGGTTAATTGATGAGTAAAAGTCATTTATTTGTTCAAGGAAACGAGAAAATATAAAAATTATGCGACAAAAATCTTATATGACAGCAATTTGTATGATGTAAATGTCTTCTCCATTTTGTAGTGATTTATTAACACTCTAAGATGTATTATGAGGCAAAAACATATCGAGTATTTTATATATACGCAATAAAACATAATTGAACTATGTCGTTCATCATATTATTTAAAATAGTATGTGGTGCACAAAAACAAGCCGTTAAAAAAAAAAATATCTTTCTACTGTAAACAACACGAACGATATTGCATAAAGATAGTTGCTCATAAATATCATGAAAGTTTCTATAAAGAAGAAAAATCATATTTTAATTAAAATCTAAACAAATCAAAAATCTTTCGTAAATATTCTTGAAAAATGACAAATTACTAAAAGTAATACAGTATGAAATATATGACAAAGACAATGTTGTTCAGCATTAAACACTTAATTTTATCATTTACTATATCCGTTCTATTTTTTAGAACAGCTGATTCATTACAACTTTACAAGTATTTATCGTCTTCTCTTATAGACGTAAATAGTTTTCATTCAATATATGTAAATATGACTTATGAGTATAGGCTTACAATTAAGTCTATATGTGTAAATGTGAGATCTTTGTTTAAACAAATAAAAGCGACAATATATTTGTTAACGACACGACCAATTTTGTACAAACATTTTATTCGCTTTATAAATTCTTTCCTTCATACATACACACAGTTGTTATTCACTTTGAATGTCTCTTTGCATAGATTAAGAGCGACAACAACAACAAAAAATGATTTTTTGTCTCCTATTGTGAGTGAAAAATAAAGATATAAAAGAGTTATTGAAAAAATGAATTGAGACAAGTTGAATAGATTAGAACACTCAAATCCATTCTAACATTACTATGTGAAAATGCGATTCTCTCACGTAGTTATTTTCAAAAGATAATTTCAAATAATGTTAGAAATGCTGCCGGTTACTTTATATCGTTTAAATTGATAGAATCGATCATACGATAACGTCTTTTTTTATTTTTTGTTTTGTCTCTTATTAGAAAGGAACAAGCATTCCACCATTTGAGAACATGCATTCCAGAGAATCAAAAATTAATTTGTCACCATCTGATTTAATATTTGTGCACACTAAAAATTGTTCCTTTCATGTTTCATACTATTTTTTATAAACCAATACTTAGAGACGAACGTTCAGTGAGAATATTATTATCAAATGATAATTAAACACATCAGTACATAAATACACACACACACGCACAACTCTAATATCTTAATTTATTCAATTCGGTATAACATGCAATATTAGCAGCTCGTTTAATGCTATATTAGAGTTGTCTCAAAAAAAAAAAACATCATTTGTATCGAATAACGAGAAAATAAGCAACCAGATAATTAAATATCATCACAAAATAATAAAAAATGGAAAACAGGATAGAAAAGAACATGATAAATGCTTTCCGTTCTATATAATAGAATATAGATAGTTTTCTTTTCTTTCATGCCTTTCCGTCTGTTAATCATATCAAAACATCTCTCTTTGCATGCATCATATATCGATGGTGGACGAGAAAACAACAGAAATAGGCAAAAGATGCAAATGATAATGATATATATCTAATAAATAGTACAAACAATAGTATAGTAGCTGTTTCAAGTGGCTAGAAAGCAATTCGGTTCTCGTGTCATTTAGGAGCCAATAGACAAAACAAACAGTAAAGCAAATAAAATGTGTTGGTGTTCTTCATGAAGAAATCTGATCTAATAAATGTATATATAAACGAATAGTAAAATGATACAGAGAAAAGGTTTCTCGAGGTCAAACATAAACACATGTAATCAATTTAGAACTAAAGCAGTGCATCGTTACATTGATAACTAATAAAAATACAAAAAATTTATCTCTCCTCTACGCATTATATCTGCTTTATAGTTGGAATGATTCGCATAGACTCTCTAAGCTCTTTATTCTGCTAACATGCGCAATTGAATTAAAGAATTATTACCTTTTTGATTTGACTTGTTCTTTAATTTGTTGAGCTTGTTTGAGAAGTTTTTAAATGAATGGTCATTATCAGTATTATTTACAAACATTTTCGAATTTATTTAGAAATAAAAATATTAGCATATTCTATCCAATATTTGTTTATGGTTTATATTAAAATATTAATAAAAAAGAAAAATTGGGTAAAAAAAGTTTATCACAATTCATAAAAAGAAAATCAAAAGATTGCTTCTTCTGCATTCTGTAAGATCAAAATAAGAAGTAATATAAATATATTTGGAAGAAATCGATTACTCACATACTCGTACTCATTTACTCACTATAATACTCTCTTTCATTTGCGAATTACTTTACCAATTAAAACCATTTTACTGACTTCTTCCCAAAGTCGGATTTAAATCACAACAATTTTGTCAATAAATTTCATTGTGAACTATGACATGATATCTAGAGAGAAATAAAGTTTCAATCATAGCATTCATAGCAGAATTACCGCCATCTTCTGCAAAATGCATAAATTATCCAATAAGAAAGTATGATAAAATACTGATTATATTTTTTGGAGTATGCCTATTGGATTGACAGAAAATTGACAGTCGTGGTCTGTATTGATAGCAAGTAGCTATTATATTGACATTTGTGTGTTTTAAATTTTTTTACAATACCTATAACTGACAACCAATTAAAGTAACTTTTGATGTTCACGTCTACTTTGACTGCTTATCAGCGTTTCTAATGCAAACTGTACGTACATTTTGAAAATTTGAAATACCGTTTGTTGCACATTTTGCTGAAAAAAACAAAGTAAACATTACAGTTTTGAAATTGACATGTACACTTATTTGTTCCAGGAAATTTTGATCGGTTTAAAGAAAATGATGTTTATTTGTTGACTGACTTTTGTTTTTCATATTATGAACAAAGAGACGACACACAGAAACAGTGGCGCTTCGCATATGTTTTAGTTAGCTTGCAACTAGAGACGGCAGCGGATTGATTGATTTGAGGCGGATGACCAGTTTTTTCCACTATCGAGGCGACTAGTGGCTCTTCAAGATTTCCAGTATACTTTGCCTTAGTATACTATTTTATGATATAGATATATGATTGAAGAAGAATGAAAGAGTCAGATTTACACAATAAATATAAATTTCAAGATTAAATATACCTTAAGAAAATTTCAAAAACGTCTCATTCGGTTCAAGATTAAAATTGTGTGGAAAGACAACACTATTTCTATATTAAAAGTCTCATGCATGAATGGTCTTAGTTTTTGTTTTAGATTTCGAACACATACATTTGTACATTTCTCGAAAAGAAACAACGTGTACACGTACACTTAGTAAAAAACTTTTCATTCGAAATACTTCTGTCTACCTTAATCTGATCATCACACTATTCAAGTCGACTTGAATAAAAGAATCAGTTAATTCTTAAATTAATTAAAATGATTTCCAGCATGATAATCGGATTGAGAGTGAGCCCAGTAATAAATATCAATTAATTGCGAGTAGACCTTATTTCAACAAGTTTACTGATTGGGACGAATCCTAACTACTACTGCGGTTTTCTCCAGCAGTCGGCGAAAACAACTGATACTACTTGAAAAGAACATTTTTCTATTAGGTATATATCCCCACCAGTCAGAATGTACTTCCTACAGTTTTTTTGAACAGTGATTTACTCTTAAAATAGATCCTCAACGGGAGTTGCAAACTTCGTTCAAAAGCTTACCAAAAAATGTTTTAATCGGATCTACCTATAGTCATTGCGCTATTTTATTCACTTGTCTTGTATAATATATATAATGTAGCTTTTATACTGCATTACTTTCTCTCACTTTCTGTGCATTTCTATCGGGAACCCCAGAATCCTTTAGTCTCATCCACGGATCAAAGATAAATGTAGGGAAAACTAGTTTTCCAAAAAAAGTTTGCTTTCTTTGAGAAAATCTTACAGTCCTGCTGTCCGTTAAGTTTCAACTCTAGTGTTGTTCCACTAGCGATGAATGTTATATCCTGGTCGTCTATTTCTACGCTCAATTTTACCTGCTAATAGTAGATGTAATTGTTCACAATCCATTTTAGTGAAAATTGACTGCGCCTAGAATCACACAATAAATGGAGAATTTATCAAAAACTAAGCGCGATAATTCATAAATCTGCTAAGAGAGATCTGTAGTATTTTATTCCAACATTTTTTAGTAACTCTGCATTCACTCTAAAATGAACTGGCCTTTATTATTAGGAACAATGGTGAGTTGAGATATTTACGTGCATATTAGAGGTGAGATGTTAATATTTGTCGATTTGCATTCTCTACTGAATGAAAAAGGAATAACTTTAAAAAGTAAAAGCATTTCTTCTTTTAACATCAGAAATGAGTAACTCTGATATAGAATGGGTCTTTAAAAACATTAACGGCAGCTTTATCTATGAATATTTAGACTACAAAAATGTCTGACACTAAAGATGGTGCTAGTCTCCGAAGATTTTGATCAGCCGCCTTCTACTGAGAAATAATTCTAATGAGTTTTAGTTTTTATATCTGAAATGTTTCAATGTTCTTAAAAATATGCTTCTTTACCAGTACATTTATTATTTACAAATTTGTTTAATATTTCACACAAATCACTATGAATCATAGCAGTTTGTGTGAAGAGTTTATATTGAGAACGTTCATATGAGTTATTATCATTTTGTTGATTTCTTGAGATCTAGAAGTAAATGAACCTCGTTTCCTATTTGTCTGTATTCAACTCAATTTCCAGTTTCAATCTGGAGACTTCAAAAAAAAAACTCCTTTTTGTCAAAATATTTGCCATAGAATTCTTCACAAAACAGATGCTAAGTTATATTTGAATTTACTTTTTAGGAAATAGATTATCAAAACTCGACAGAAATCATCAATCTTATTTCGCGTTTTTCTTCAAATTTTTGTAATGTATATTTCTGAGGAGCGGCACAAAATTTGATACTCGTGGATCTTCAAACCAATTTATCTTACAGAAAAAAATTTCATTTTATTATTTTGGTCACATGTTTTCGCTATTCTATCTCTTTTCAATCATCATTTCATTTGTTTTACAAAATATTTACTTCAAAATTGTTCAAAAAAAATAAAATATTTAACTGATTGCTAATTCATATTGCAATCATGAATGTTTTGAACAAAGAACTATCTTTAACGAAACATATTTTGACAAAAAAACCATAATGGATCATTATTTAATAGAACATTTAAACGACGATCTGTTGCTACAAAACATTTGTTTAAAATAACATAGTTCTTAATTAGAATCCTCAAAAGAATGTTTTTATCGAGTTGAAAGTTGTCTGTCATTTTGTCTCTTATCTCTCAACCTGATTTTCAACAAGTAAAAACAAATGAATTAAAACGTACTAGTTTGTAAAGAATTTAGCATTAAAATAGAATTCAGAATGATCCATTAATTTTTTTTTTCTATTTCAGACGTATCTATTTTTTAATAAAAACGTCAGATGTTCTTACAACAATGTATTTAAATTACATCAATTATTGGTCAATGAAAAATAATGAAATTAATCAAACGATATATCATTATTTTTTGTACACTTTTTTGTTTATATTTTATTATTGCTTATAAAAATCGTCTATTTCCATCGTTTATATTGGGTAAATTTCATATATTATCAACAGATAAAAATGTGACAGTAAAATTAAAAGATCTTCAATATTATTATCAATCAAAAACAAATCCCAATATTATACTCTATGATGTTAAACAAGAAAATTCATGGAAATTTCAATGTCCATTTACAAAATATAAAGAATCAGATATTTCTGATGTTCAAATTTGTATATATAATCCAGAACATGATGAACATATCAGTGGACAATTGAATGATTATGGAAAATGGGAACCAGTTGTTGTACGAAGTTTTTTAAGGTATATAAAAAAATTTATAATAGATATTTGAATAATACCTAATTATTTTTGTTATATATAGCTTATAGCTTTATATTTTTAAAATACTTTTTTTTTAAGATTATTACGTGCAATTCCAAATACTCATTTGATCGACGTTGGCGCAAACATTGGCCTTTATACATTGCTCGCAACTCAATTAAATCGTCATGTTCTTTCTATTGAACCATTACACGATAGTCTCATACGTTTACATAAATCAATTCAATTAAATAATGTTGAAAATTTTGTGACAGTTATTGCAAATGCTATTGGAACTAAACATGAAAAATTACAATTGAATATTGTTGATAAAAATATTGGTGGTTCTTATTTATCTATACTTGATAAAATGAAACCACCCGTTAAAATAATACCAGATATAGTAATTACACCAAAAGTATTAGCAGATGTTGATACAATTGTTTTAGATGATCTAATTGATATTTATCCGTCCTATTTTAAACGTGCAATATTAAAATTGGATATTGAAGGTTTTGAAGCGTATGCATTTCAAAATGCAACTATTTTATTTAATAAAACAGAAATACCCGCTGTTTATATGGAATTTGGAAAATTAATTGAATTGAAATCGTCGAATGAAATGATGGCGGCAATTAAATATATGATTCATTTTTTAAAAATAAGAAATTATGAACCTTATGAAGTAAATGATATAAATCATTTATCATTTGACAATTGGGAAAAGTGGCCTTGGGATATTGTATTTAAACGATGTGATCTATGTAGATGTGCAGGCATGGATAAAGCAGTCGGATCAGTTGAATAGGATTGTATTAGTCAGTTCAACTCTTGTTGAATTAAAATATGAGCATTCAAGAAATCGTTAAATTTGAGAATTAGACAACTGAATAGATAAATAGTTAAAAGCAAATTTATTTCTTAAAACGTGGATAAATTAAAATGAAAAAAAAAATCTGTGAAAACATGCGAGAAAAATATTAAAAATCTCCAGATTAAGCCGTTGTAGGTCTGATGTACAGTTCTCAAGATATTATTCTCATTGTTGTTTCATTTGAATTTCAGTTTTGTTTTAATCATTCAGTTCTCAATTAAATATTCTAGATATTACTAAATATAGTAATCAGAAATATCTTTGTCATAGCAAGGTGTCAGGGGCGTCTATCTTGGGAGATCCTCAAACAAACGTAAGGTGGTTTTTTTTGCTGTAGAAATTAATTTTGTAGGTAGTATACTGAGTGATCGAACCTTCGAAGTGGTACAAAATGCCTTATATATTCAGATGGGAATAGACGCCCCTGCAAGGTATGGACCATTTATTTTTCTCACTATCTTTGAGAACATCCAAGACAACTGTTATAAGGCAGTTATTAAAAATCGTCCGGACTTGCGAAACGTGTCATTTTACAGAGAAGGATTTGATCTATTTATTTGCATCGAGCAAAAAATTAAAGGAGAAAAGAGTAGTTTTTCTACTGAATTGCTGAAAGGACACGAACAGCTAAAAATATGTGTTAATCAGTTATCATGCATAACTATGCAATGATATTTTAGATTGCTCATATTTGTGTCATAATTCAGTTTAAACTTTTTTGCGTTGAACAAATACATAAAGCAAACATTTCTCTACAAAATGAGATGTTTGGCAGCTGAGGACGATTCTTGATAACCGTGTTATTCCAATTTTTCTAGATTTTCTGATATCTGTTATAAAACGAGTGCATGCCTAGTGACAATATATTATCATATAGATCGTTGCTGTCGTAATTATCTACCGTTATAACTATATAATCATTTCTAATTCTTTTAAAAGCTTTCTGGTGTCATATTTGTGTTTAGTGTCAATAAAACCTATGGAAAGCTGTTTTCATGAAATTCTGATATCGTAGCAATGAGAACAATGTTTTGAGAACCATACATCAGACATACGTTTGTCCTTTTGATTTCTGTTTCGATACAAACTTACATAATTTTAGCTATGCGAGAAAAAGATGAAAAATCTTGTCAAAATCTCACGTATGGTGCTGAAATGTAAAACTCTTAACGTTTTTGATGTACGTTAAAATGTTTACTGTTGTAAATAACTGAGAAAAGTACACGTTGTGTTTTATTTTTCTGTTTATTTCAAAAGATAATTGAAATCATGCAACAATTAGGACATTTTTTTTCTTGTCTTATATTATTGTATTATTTCTATGCTCATGGAGCGCAAAAATAAAAAACTCGAAAACATAGAAAAATCGCAAAGGAAAACAGAACATCAGAACCTGGTTAGATTGCAAAATCAAAGAGATGCAACGAAAAACTAAGTAAAATATAGACATATCATACAGTCTGAGAAGCCTTTCAATAAACAGACATAAATGGCGTCTAAAACGACTTTAAACAACAAGAAATATCAAATAAAGTGGAAATATATGAAATTCTGAACGATAGGTAATACATTAGAAATAAGTGCTCGTATACTAAATTGAATTTGAATCATATGAAATGCGATATGAAAGAGAAACTAGTTTGATTAGATTTTTTAAATCAATATAAAGTGGTTTCTTCAGTATTTACTTTGTACCACTTAGAACGCTCATTCTTCTGCTTATTATTTGCTGTATACTGTCTCACATTTGATAGAAAACGAATTATAAGGATTTTTGATTTTTCTTCCTAGAAATGTAGATTTTGCTCGCGTTTGGCTCACTATTAATCAAAATGTCTATTTTGATGAAAAATTGTGGTAATTGTGAATATCTCATTTATTTTCGCTGAAAAATGTATTTCTGAGTGAGAAAAACGCAGTTTTCGAAAATCGTGTATTGAAATGTAAGAGGTTGCTCTCAATTTTGCGCTAATATTGTCTGTGTAAATTGACATGCTCGATCAAACAATGATAAGAGAATTAAAAAGTCCTGGGGGATCACATCAAAATCAGATGTGTTGACAGATTGAAAATTACTGAATCTAAAAAGCACTAGATAACATCAGAGTCAAAATTCTGAAATCTGCGTTTACCACATAGCTGCCTACGGCGATGTCTTACCATATTTTGAGCATTTTTCTTGTTTTGTATTGCCTGGAATCCTCGTCAATCTTTGATGCACTGGTAGATATACATCAACGTTTAAACTGTTCTTGTTGTTAGTAAACTTCATCAAACTTCGATCTTACTTTTATTTTATGAAGCTGACAAATTTAGTGCAATCTGTTTGTTTTAACAGATGTTTTGATAGAGATTTGTGTATACCAGAAGCACAGCAGTATAAAACTCAAAATAGATCAGTTAGACATGTCTAGACAAGACATTGTTTATATCCTCTCCTAATTTGCATAATTTCATCATTCATTCTTCTTTTTTATTTACATAACGAAATGGTATGCACACACAAATACAAAGAAAATGTTGTAAGCTTTTTGTATACCACTGAAATAGATCAAGCAAATGAATAAAAGTTCCAAAAATCGTACATATATTAGTGTAAAACATATAATTTTTTTAGATAAGATCGGCAACATTCATTGGCATTTCATCGATTTGTGTGCTGTAATATTGTTCAATATCACGAAGAATACGAATATCATCATTTTTGACAAAATTAATCTAAATAAAAAAAACAATCTAACATTAAACTATATATTTCTGAAAGATTAAACGATTCACTTACAGCAACGCCTTTTCGTCCAAATCGTCCCGAACGACCAATACGATGAATGTATAATTCACGAGAATTTGGTAAATCATAATTGATGACTAATGACACTTGTTGTACATCAATACCTATGATAAAACACGAATTAACTAACTTATTACAATTTTTTTGTTTCGAAAATGAAATTTTTCTGATTATGTAGTAGTAACTCTTAAATATTACTAGAAAAGATAGCAAAGTACTACTTACCACGTGCCCAAACATCTGTTGTTATCAATACCCGGGTATCGCCTGCACGAAATTCTTTCATTATTTCATCTCGTTCTTTTTGTTCCATATCACCATGCATTGACGACACAGTAAAATTAGCTTCACGCATTTTTTCCGTTAACCAGTTGACTTTACGTTTTGTGTTACAGAAGATAACAGCTTGTGTTATTGTTAACGTATCATATAAATCACACAATGTATCAAATTTCCATTCTTCTCGTTCGACAGCAACAAAAAATTGCTTAATACCTTCCAGTGTCAATTCATCACGTTTAACCAAGATACGAATTGGTTCAGTCATAAATTTTGATGTTATTTCTAATATTTCATGTGGTAATGTAGCACTAACTAACACAACTTGAGTATTTGGTGGTAGATGACGATAAACATCATAGATTTGTTCTTTAAAACCAAGGTTTAACATTTCATCAGCTTCATCTAATATTAACATTCGTATATGACGTGTACCTGTGAAATAGAAAAGAAAACAACATCTAAAATCTAGTTATTATTCCAATATAGCTTAATTTTTCTTAAGAAACTGCTCTCGGGCTGAGACCTAAACAGATCTATACTTACGTAATGAACGACGATTAATCATATCTGTAACTCGCCCAGGTGTTCCACTAACAATATGTTGACCATAATCTAGTTTTCTCATATCTTCAGCTGTATTTGTACCCCCGATACATGCGTGACATTGGACATTCATATAATCGCCAATTGCTAAAACAACTTTTTGTATTTGTTGTGCTAATTCACGTGTGGGTGACAAAACCAGCGCTTGAGTTTCACGAATATTTGGATCAAATTTTTGTAACATTGCAATAGAAAACATGGCTGTTTTACCAGTACCAGATTGTGCTTGCGCAATAACATCACGACCTAAAGGAAGAAAATTTTCAATAATGATATTGAAAAATTCAATTTATTCATTACTCAAAAATACTCGCTTAATTCTTTCTATATATGATCAACTTTAGCACAAAATTAATTAAAACTGACTTTTACCTTTAATTATTGGTCTTATTGACCGCTGTTGGATGGCTGATGGTTTTTCAAAACCGTAAGAATAAATACCACGTAATAAATTTTCATTGAGCGCCATATGATCGAATGTTGGTGAAACTTCAACATCTTCACTGGTTTCAAAATCAACTGAATCTAAATCATGGCCAGTTTTAACAGTACGAGCTCGTTTAGCTGGACGTTCAGGTATTGTGGACATTGTTTGTTTTGTCTGTTGTAATAATGTAATGTAATGGCAAATTTAGATACACAATAATCTATAAATAGTAAATACGTAAATAGATATAAATGGATTAAGCAAAAAAAGAAAGAAAGAGGTTGGCAAGCAGAACAAATTCAAGTTAAATCTAGTTATGCGTAAAGCTTATGTATACAGCAAACTCAGACTTCTCTGTACAGCTATGAGCAGATATAGTTTAAAAGGTTGTACGAATAGCAAAAAGGTATAAAATTTCGTATAAAATATGTTTTATTCATACAATACATGCGCGACAATAAGTTTTTACATAAAGTAGATTTAAACATGAAGTAGTCAAAAAGTATATCCATTGAGAAGTTTAATAATAGTATATCTGAATTAAGCAAAATTCTCGTGAAAAAAAATGATTACCTATTGCTTGTGAACTATATTTTGAATTTTAATTTCACAATTGTCTACGATATGTTGACATTCAAAATATATTTACAAAGCAATTAGGTAAAGATTATTTTGTCGGTACCCTTAAGATTCGCTTTTGTAATCGTTTAATGCTATGATACACTGTGCTTTTAGTTGCTAGTCTGGAGTATACCAGCAACTAAAACATATAGTTAGTGGAACATCAAGGCGAGTTACAGATATGATTAATCATCGTTCATTGCGTAAGTA